TTCAATGAAACTTGGCACATGGATGCTCTGAACTAATGAGCAGATTTGATTAGTTTTGGGTAAAAATCTGTTAATATTATTAATTACCTAATTTACATAATGATTAATCAATTTTCGGTTTTTCCACTGATATCTCAAGTACTAATCATAACATTTCAATAAAACTTGGTACATAGGTGTCATATGACACTGCACAGACCTGATAGTTTTTAGGGTAATATCAGTACATATAAGTACTAATTTGCATAATTAATTAATTTCAGCTTTGATATTTCGAGTAGTAATGATCACGTTTCAATGAAACTTGGTACATAGTTACTTGAGGACTGTGCAGAGACTAATTAGTTTTTGGGTAAAATATTTGTGTATATTAATTACCTTATTAGCATAATTAGTTAATTTTCAGCTTTTCACCTGATATCTCAAGTACTAATCATCACATTTCAATGAGACTTGCGACATTTTTTCTAGGACTATGCAGAGACCTGATTAATCTTGGGATAAATAATTGTGCCTATTAATTACCTAATTTGCATAATTAGTTAATTTTTTGCTGTTCTATGGCTGTTGCACTGATGTCTAAAAACCACTCATTGGATTTCAATGAAACTTTTAAAGAGTACCCATCACATTTCAATGAACCTCAGACCATGCACCATATTAGTTTTTGGTAAATATTTATGCTTCTTAATCACCTAATTAACATAATTAATTAATACTGATATCTCAAGTATTGATCATCGCATTTGAATAAAACTTGGTACATAAATGCTCTAGGACAATAGACAGCCTGATTAATTTTAGGTTAAAATCTGTTCATATTAATTCTCTAATTAGCATAATAATTAATAATTATTATATAAATATAATTATTTTTTTGGTTCTAATCACATTTCAATGAAACTTGGTACATTGTGCAGACCTTTAGTTTTACACTTAAATCTGTTCATATTAGTTACCTTATTTGCATAATTAGTTTTCAGCTATTCCATCAATATCTCAAGTATAAGTAATTTTGAATTAATTTTTAATGTGTCTCCAAACTCTCAGCACACGGGAGTTCTTTCTAAGCTTTCTTTGATTTTTTTTTATTATTATAGGAATTTACAGAATTTGCCGTAACAGTTCTGGAAGTCAATGAGAATATTACATGGACAATCTCATGTTGCAAAGTCATCAAATTGAACCTAACAAAAAAAAATTTACAACAGATAACGATAATTATGCAAACCGTGAAGAATGAGTGATACAAACGTCAGATCACAGATTGTTATTGTCAAATGACATGAAGATAACCTGCTTTGAACACTGTCTGGTTTTTATTGATAATAAAGAATATGTACTTTTTTGAAAGTGGGACTTCACAGGTGAAGTTTCTGACCTGGAGTTGTTCTCTTAGCAATGTATCTTCAGATTACAATCACTCCAGAGTCTCTATTTAGCGACTTTTCTGA